GTTCTACACTGGTTGGATATGCGGTATATACACGGTGGCAATAAAAACAGAATCAAATCCCTTCGAGGGGAGGGGGAGTGTCGTTGGTGTTGGTGTTCCTATCGGAGTAACGCGAGATGATCTGCGTTCGACTCGACCGTAGGTAGGTAGGTAGGTAGGTAGGAAGGAATCGTGATGGTAGTTAAATGGCGTTGACGGCCAATTCAATCCCGGGGGGAGACCAATTACTCGAGCTTGTGGAAATAGAAGCCCGGTAAGACAATCGTGGCGCGTGGCACAAGTGTAGGAAGTGACAGAGTGGGAGTTGAGTTGGTTCCACACCGAGCTTGAAGTTGTCAAGTGAAGTTCTTCTCCGCTTAGGCCGAGTCGGAGAACTTTTTTTATCTGCAACCCATTTATTCCTTCTCTCTCTTTTTTTGTGACACTGTTTCAGGGTCTTGACAACAACCCCTCTTTTATTTTTCTTTTTATATAATTTCAGTTTTATACTCCGGTTGACACAGGGTATTTATTGGAAACAGAAGCAAAAAAAACTTAATAGTTAATTAAAAGCCACTACACCAACCCAAGATGTCGTCGATGCGCAATGCCGTCCAACGACGGAATCACAAGGAGCGAGGCCAGCTCCAGGGCCGTGAAAAATGGGGTATTCTTGAGAAGCACAAGGTATGTCACATACCTATCTATCGCCGAGTACTTAACTGTTCTAGAAACTGGAGCCTAACAAGATGGACATAGGACTACTCCCTCCGAGCAAAAGACTACAACCAGAAGAAGGCCAAGCTCAAGCGTCTGGAGGAAAAGGTCCGCGACCGGAACCCCGATGAATTCGCCTTCGGGATGATGTCTTCGCACACGCAGAAGGCGGGCAAGCACGGTACGGCGGCGCGCGAGTCGGCGGCGGGACTCAGTTACGATGCGATCAAGTTGCTGAAGACGCAGGATGCGGGGTACTTGCGGACGACGGGGGAGCGGATTCGGCGGCAGATGGATAAGCTGGAGCAGGAGATTCAGTTGCAGGATGGGATGGTGCAGAGTTTGGTGGGGAAGAAGGCGAAGAAGAAGAAGGCGCCCGTGCGGGATGAGGATGATGATGGGTTTGATTTTGATTTCGATGACGAGTCCGAGGAGGAGGAAGAGGCCGGGCCGAAGAAGACGGTCTTTGCGGATGATAAGCTGGAGCAGAGAGCTTTGAAGATGAAGCGGGTGCAAGCGGAGGGGGGTGATGAGAGGGAAGAGTCGTTTGGAGATCTTCAGCGGAAAAAAACGGCGAGGGAGCTGGAGGCGGATCGTCTGGCTCTTCAGGAGGCTCGTCGCGCTCGGAAGCTCAAGCAGCGTGCTCATGCGGCGAGGCAGAACAAGCTGGCGGCGCTTCAGAAGCAGTACAACGATATCACAGCTGCGGAGCGCCAGTTGGATTGGCAGCGTGGAAGGATGGACAACTCCGTCGGAGGGACGAACAAAAATGGGATCAAGTGGAAGATCCGCGAGCGCAAGAAGTGATTTGATATCATTCTCACCATACGACTGATGATTCCTTCTACATTCTCTCTTTGATTTCTTTCTGTGTTTGCATTTGGGCTGTTTCTGGGTGTATGGCTTGGGAAAAGTATTCTACATGGGTCGTGTACTTGTATAGAGAGTTACTGCAGGATACCATTGCTATTTGATATTCTTCATCAATTAAAAGTTGCTCAATCTTGGTAAACCACTTCTGGGAAGCATTCGTAAACAATTCAAATTACCATAACCGTCGAGGTCGTGAAAGCCGAAAAGAAACACCACATATCCCTGGCCTGTGGATCTATTGTCCCTTCATGTGGGCTACTCGGATGCTCACAGCCCGCTTGTGTGCATCCAAGCCTTCCACCGCCGCCAACTGCTCAACAGTGCGCGACAGGCCCAACAATCCGTCAGCCGTCAGGTTGGAGCTCGTGATGTGCTTGAGGAACGATCCCAGGTTCACGCCCGAGTATTGCTTGGCATATCCGTAGGTTGCTGAATCCGAGTTAGCTAGTGCTTAGAAAATGAAAGAAGCGATGAAGACTTACGCAAAGAGTGGTTCACACCGGCCGAGTAGTCGCCGACACTTTCTGGAGTCCACTGGCCAATGAAGACACTTCCAGCGTTCTGCACCTGTTCGACGGCGGCCTCTGCGTTCTCAATCTGCAGGATCAGATGCTCTGGAGCATACTCGTTGCTGAGAGCCATCGCCTCGGCAAGGTCACGCACCACAAAGGTGACCGAGTGCTCCAGAGATCCCTTGACAATGTCCATCCGCGGGAGCGCTCTGGCCTGCTTGTCCACCTCATCTTCGATGGCCTGCAGCTGCTGCTCGTTCAGGTCAATGGCAATCAGAATGACTTGGGAGTCGACACCGTGTTCGGCCTGGCTCAGCAGATCCGAGGCAACGAACGCGGGGTTGGCCTCCTTGTCTGCAATCACCAGGACTTCACTAGGGCCGGCGGGCATATCAATGCTGACGCCCGCAGAGGTATCGTTGGCGACCAGCATCTTAGCGGCTGTCACGAACTGATTACCGGGGCCCAAGATCTTGTCAACCTTGCTGATGCTCTCCGTGCCGTACGCCATGGCGGCAACCGCCTGGGCACCACCGGCAAGCACAATACTCTCCGCTCCGACCTTGTGAGCAACGTAGACAATCTCAGGCGTGATACTGCCGTCGGCACGAGGGGGCGAAGCAAGGACGATCTTCTTGCAGCCAGCAACCATGGCAGGCACACCCAACATCATGGCGGTCGAAGGCAGCACGGCGGTTCCACCGGGAATATACAGACCAACACGTTCAATGGCTCGTGAAAAGCGGGAGCAAACGACGCCCGGCATCGTCTCGACCTTGAGGCCGTCGTTGCTACCCTTCTGTGCACTGTGGAACTTGGCGATGTTGGCAATACTAACATCAATCGCCTCCTTTGTTTCGGGCGACACCTGCATCAATTCCGGAGCGAATGGGGCGTTGATAACGGGAGAGGTGAGGGAAGTAGCCTTCTCGAATTTGTGAGTGTACTTGAGAACACCGGCATCGCCGTGCTCGCGGACATCCTGGATGATCGGACGGACAAGGCCAATAATCGCATCGTTGGATTTTTGCGAAGGACGCTTCAGGTAAGCCTTAACATCCTCCACCGGGGTCGAAGCGGTGATGACACGAGTCATCTCAATGCGGCTGTCCTCCTTGGCCGGGGGCTGGCTCTTCTCCACGGCCGCGGGGGCGGGAGCGGGAGCAGAGGCAGGAGCGGCCAGACCGGCCTTCTCTGCCCAAGGGCCCTTGGCGTCGCCCTTTCTTCTCTTCACCTTCAGGCTCTTGAGGTCCAGGTTCCGCTCGACGTCTTCCAGGCTGACTCCAGCTGCGACACAGCGGGTCAGAGCAAAATAGAGAAGATCGGCAGCCTCAAAGGCAATCTCTTCCTTGGTGTTTGCGCGGCACAGCTCGTCGGCTTCTTCCATGATCTTCGCCTGGGTGAGCTTGGGCTCGTTGAAGAGCCTAGCAGTGTAGGAACCTTCAGGGGCATCGGCTTTGCGGGCCTGCAGGGTCTTCTGCAGACGCGAAAGACCATTGTAAGCACCGAAGCAGCTGGCGGTACCCAGGTGGCAGAAGCCTCGACCGATCTGGTTGACAACGAACACTAAGCAATCGCTGTCGCAATCGAACCCAACTCGGATCAGTTCCTGCACATCGCCGCTCGACTGACCCTTGTACCACAGGCCCCGCTTACGGCTCTGGTAAACACCGGTGCCCGTGCGCAGCGCTTCGGAAATGCTCTCGTCGCTGCTCCACACGAGGCCCAAGCAGGTTCCTCTCTCGTCGGTCACCGTGGTGGCATAGAGGCCGTTGCTCTGATCAGCGACTGCACGAGCGGCGATGAGAGAGGCGGCGACGATCTTGCCGTCGGCCTGGTTACGATCCAGAGTCAAGGCTTGCGCGGGCACGATGCTGACCGCACCCTGGGTCAAGGTGTCCTTCAAAGTTTCCTCAGTAACAGCGCCGGAGTACGTCCGGTAGAGACCCTGGGCTTCGGGGTTCAGGCCCAATTTGTCGACCAAGGCCTTCACGGCGGACGAGTCGGTCGAGAGACCGGCTTCCTTACGCTCGGAATCCTCAGCCACCCACTTCTGGAAGGAGTCCACCTGACTGTCGGACGAAGTATAGACGACGACTCGTGACGAGGGAACGGACTGTTCTTGGGAGAGGGCGGTCAATTGGTCTAGGGTAATGAAGATCTTCGCGGCACCGGCATTGAGGATATCGACGAGGTCACCAGTGGTGGAAATCGCGGTGGCATCGACGTAGACGTCCAGCAGACGGAAGTTCTGACGCAGGAATTCTTCGGCTTGAGCGACGCTGGAGGCCTTGACTAGAACACGGCCGAAGTAGGCGATCTGCTTGAGTGAGAGGCCAGGGGCCGAAGGGTCGAAGGAGACCAGAAATGGAGTCGCCATGGTGGTGACTCAATGAGGGAGGAGGGGAGGTAGAAGGAGGGGCAAGAGGGATGGGACGGAGAGAGAAAGATAGTGAACAGGATAAGTCACAAGAGTTGATTGACTGATTCAGGCGATGACTCGGAAGGAATTGAAAAAGCAGGTGGGAATTCTAAAAGCCCCGGAGGGAAGGAATGGGGAAGAGAGTCTGTCAAGACGATTGCGGGATGATTCATTCAATCGCCATAGAAAAAGAAATTCTTGTCGGCCCCGCAATCGGACACTTCGGCGGCGGGGGCCTGGAAATTCAGGAACAAAGAACATGGTGGTTACGTTCAGTTCGGGTCAAACAGGCCTTATTTTATTAAGAGAACTTTATTTGGTTCCTCCGTCTCACATTATTCGTGACACCCACGATGTTGTTGTCTCCATGAATTCATAGTTCACCTGGGAGACTTTTACCTAACAGTATGGCCTGATTGGCCCGAGACCCCAGTTCGATGGACACTAAACCAATACATTTGCCGAGATTTGATAGAAATGGAGTAATAATACAACAGTTAATCCTTCTCGCACACTTCATCAGTCCATTCCTGGGTGTAAAAGGTGACCTGATCCACCCCCGTTTGACTTTTGATGTCGGCGATGAGATCGTCGACATGGGTGAAAACAACAATTTGTCCCCCAACTTGTGCCCCGAAGCCCATTCCCACCATAGCGCCCGATTCGGTGAAGAGAAGGGATCCCGAGTCCCCAGGCTCAAAATCAGACTTCTTCTTTTTACAAATGACCGAATGCTCATTCGTCGTGCGTAGCTGTCCATTTGCTGTAACAGTAAAAACTGTCGTGGCAAGCATGTTGTATTGGCCGGTAGTCGTATTCGTGATACAACCGGACTTGTGAAGGAGATCGGAATGATGCAATACGATGCTGTCCTCGATAAACCCATTTTCGACTTTCAGACTCCTTGGATCATGTTGGTTGGCGAATCCACCAAACTAAAAAAATCCTTAATCAGCGATCTTCGAATAGAAAGGAGGAGAAACTCACTTTATTAGATGGATATGCTCGAGTTGGATAGGGCTTCAAAAGGGCCCAGTCCATAACGGTGGTCGTCCTCCGCGTGCTGTCGCCAGAATGTGCCCAAATCTTGCCAAACCTATGCATATTCGAATCGCAGTAGGCCTCTAGCTCCGCAATCCAGCCTTCATAACCGTCGATGGGGGCTCGGAGCCTTTTCCAGCATGCTTCCGACAGATCATCCAAGGGGTCTCTACACAGTCTAAGCTCTTCCAAGCTGGGATAAGAATGTTCCTTCTTGAGATCGGAGATAGTCTTCTTGAGTCCATCGATATACATTTTGATTTCACCGTAACTTGGACAATCGACCTCCTGTGCCGACTCGGGTAGACTGAGCCTGTTGTCCCCCACATGCTCCAGCGTTTCAGCTCTGGGGTCAGGTATTACGAAATCCTTGAACGGGTCGTCGAAGATGCAATGGCGACAGGTCAAACCAAATTGCTCCCATTCAGAGTCAGGCTTTTGCCGTATATTGAGCCATCCCCCAAAGGTGCCGTAGCGGTCGCTGTTATGAGCACCCACGCTATGTCCAATGGTCGCTACTCTTGGACAGTCCTCCATGTGAACAGGGCACCGTGAGTTGAGTTCGCTCTGAATCGACGGTCGGCGGGCGCAGAAGATGCTGTGATCTTTGAAAATCTGCACGTCAACCGCAAGTTTGAGCCTGTTCAAGATGTTCCTGATCTCCTGCTTAGCGATGCCCCAGTCTCGTTCAAATTCTGGATCAACCGTGACGAGTATAGTTGGTTTGCAGTTCTCAGTGCGAGTTTCGTATCCCATGCGATAGCAGCCTAGCAATTGAAATCCAGAGACATCAACAGAGTGTAGGATGTGTTGGCGAACTATGTCCCATTTGGAGAAGATTGCATCAGTCGGTTCGCATATAAACATGCTGGGGCCTTGTTCCAGGCGACAGTCAATAATGTCAACTGTTATATATTCGAGGCCGTATCTGCAAAGAAGATCGTACAGCTCTTGTGCTGCGTTGAGCCAGTCCTTTCGAGCCTCATTCTTTCGCGGGTCTACACAGACTTGCAATGTTGGGATCGGTTCTGCAGAATCGTCATAGCACGGGGTGCACTCCACAAAACCTATAGAAGCACAGATATTCAATGTTTGAATAATAGATTGAATTGTATAAAATGGAATTTGTCTAATTCGGATGTCGTGGCTGTTGTACGGTAGTTCGCAGAGCCTTGGTCCGCCAGCCCTTAGAAGTCCGCCAGTCTCAGTGGATATTATACCGGTAGGCACTAGAGGTGTTATGATAGAGTCCATGGGGATGGGATCGGGCGTGGGAATTCGACGGCGCACAGGCATCCTTTAAAGCATGCAGCACTTGGGGCCCAAGGTATGTCGCAAACTACGTCTGCCATTTTTAGCTAACTGTTAGTAAATGTGGCAGTAAGTAGAGGAATCCCAAGAAGCTGATATCTTGAGGATGGAAAAGAAAGGTTTCTGGAAGGGAGAAAATGGTTTATGTATAAATGATATCAACGGCATTACCTCTGGAAGTCTTTGATTTAGCAGTCAGCTAGCACGACGGTATTTCTGTATATCATTCAACAGAAGGGAGGACAATCATGTGCCTAGTGGCGTTCTCAGTCAACAGTTCCAGTAGAGTTGTTAAGTATATCTGTGTAGATGAAGGTGTGATAAGTTGTTGATCTCTGAGAGTATATTATATATAAGGTTGGGTAAGAAATTCATAAAGTAAGCATTCACGCCATAACTTCAAGAGTCTTTGTCTGTATGGATACCTTTACTACAGTAGGCAGCCTTCACAGCGGTTCTGGTCTAGACTGAATCTGTGTCAGTGCCCTAAGTTTCTTTCTCACTCTAAGAATAGCACAAACAGTAAACCAAGGTATGTTCTAGACACTGAAAATCTAGTTTAAAGGTGGCTTCAATTCTTCTAAAGAATGTTACGTTCTCTCTTTGTTCATTACTTTCAGATATGGCATCCATTATTCATCTGTCTTTCATCTCAGGGTTAAACAGAGCATTGGATGGAATTTGTGACACTATCTGGAGCTCTCAGATTAATTGTATGAGCTTGTCTATATAGGAGCTCAGCGTTATGTTTTCTTTCTTTCTTTCTTTCTCATTGTCTTTTTTCTGGCCTAGTCTTATGAAATCATATCAGAAATTCCTTTCTTTCTTTTTCCGGTTCACATGGCAGCCATCCATGATGACCGTTGTCTAATCATATTTACGACCTCTTTTCTTGAAGTGCCAATGCCATGAAGGTGAGATGTCACATATGAATGAATAAAGCAGATTTATCGGGAACTATCATAACGTCCTCTTTGTCTGGGACACTTTGGAGTAGGATTAGAATTGTGAGGGGTGGTCAATAGATCCATGGATCTGGCAGCTTTGAATCATCGCGAAAACGGGATACCGCTCAATTAAGGCCACCCCGATCCTGATCCTCAGCTTCCAAGTCTCGTACATCTATCCATTCCTGCCGCACCTCCCTAACAGGGGTTAGATGTTGGAGTTGAAGGGAATACGGGATCAGATAATGTTGGTTTTGTAACGGGGCACTGGCCTCTGCAATGCCACGATAGAACTTCTCCAGTGAGTCAAATGTGCGCTCATGGCGATTCGTCGACACTGGTTGCCACGGCATCGTTGGTGAGACTAATCTAGGTGTGGAGGACTTGGGTCAAAACTAGAAAGACGAAATAAAAAGGGCTTATTTTACCACTGCATGGATTCGATAAAATTTACAGCCTTGCGCCTCACAGCTCTGAGATGGCTGCCATGTAATCCTACTTACTGATCTCGTGCTTACATAAAAACCAATAGGATGTCGTTAGTAAAATTGGCGGACAATGTTGTGTGCAACTGTATAGGCAAAATCTATATCCTTAGCCTACCGCTACTTTTTCCAGAGACATGACCATATAGACCTAATGTGAACAGAGAAACATGCCCTTGTGATGATATTCTTTCTCACACAAGGAGTTTCTCCGCATGGAAATCACAACAGAACACTCCACTGAAGTATATGTCGTGGGAAGAAATTACACCAACAGGCTTGATTAGCATTTGGACTGGTTGAAGGATTATCCTTGGCCTTTCTTTCGCGTCTGCTCACAAAAGGGTCATGCTCTCAAGGGTTGCGAGTTGGATCAAAGATCTCCAAGCGCCCACCTGTCCTTCAGGTGATCTGCTTTTATCCATAATTCGGGTCGAGTCTGTATATGAGGTGCCAGACTTGTGAACCATGCTCTTGAATTCTGCGTATCCTTTGGTGGACAAATTGATTTCATTGGGGTTCATGGTGTGCACTGGGCAGCAAGAATATGGGGCCCTTCCCACACTAGTCAACTAGTCAACAAGTCGCGCGACCATCGGGTGTGTCACGCCCATCATCCAGATGAAGACTCGCTGGGCCTTGGTCGGATATGACAAGAGACAATTTGGAGATCCCGTAATACACAGTCCAAAAATTATTAGATAGCTAGTAGTATTAGTAACAAGTCATAGAATTAATAAAACGGGTTAACGGAGAAGTACAAAGTACACTTGAGGATGGAATTTTTATTTATAAATCAAGCGGGTCCAATCTCGGCAGACGCTAGGGTATATCCACTAGGGCTGCACAGCATGAAGATTGAACGTACTAGTACATAGATAGTACTAGTAGTATGACATGAAGGAAGCATATCGATGGCCATTGTGTAGTGACCCCGCAGTTTAAGTTCCACGGTCAAATTCTCGGCCTCGTCCGGGTTGCAGGAAACAATGTGCTATGATTCCTCACGTGCGAGTCACCTGCCGTCGGTGAGTGACTCGAACAGATGATACTTTAAGTGTGAAAGAACAACGACTAATATAACCAATATATAAGTCCATCGGCTTATACACCGAGTAGCCTTTAATGAAGCACTAGCTACATATCATCATCTTCATTAACTATGTTGACTATGTTCAGTCAAATAACTCCCCAGTCATTTCACTGTTTGGCCGCAGCTGAGAATCTTTTCCCCTGCATAGCATCCACGCGATTTGACCCAATCATGGATCTCGGATCGGCGCGGGCCTGAATCGATCTGGCTTAGCTCGCCCAAACAGGCGATGGTTCCTGTAACCGAACATAGTCTGGAACTCTATCCTGTTGATTCTCCGCCCAAAATGTAGTAGGTACGGCAGATGAGGGATGATCCTACCTATGACTTACCCAAAAGGGTCGGCTGATTTGCCATGCCAATCTGTAATTTAAAAATATGATCATTCGTGACTCCACGCGACACATGAACTCCCTTCTCTCCTGCTCTCCCTCCTTTCTTCCTCTTGTCTTTCTCTCACCACACCCTCTTTGTTGCTCTCTTACATTCGTTTCCATGTCGAATTGATTTCACTCTTTCGTCAATTCGACTAGTATATATCTCGAGAAACGTCCGCCTACCTGATTAGGCTGTCATTCCTTTGATTCATACGGAGATAATCTACACTCCTTATCGCTAATCTCATTGCTAATTACTACCTTCATAATGCATTTTTCGTCCCTCTCGTTGCCTCTCACGGCTTTGAGCCTTGTCACTCCTTCTCTAGCCTTTCCCCAGCTCAAACTTGACCAGCGCGTGGCACAAAGTAACTCCAGCGAGTCTCGTGCAAATGCCGTGAAAGAAGCTTTTGTACATGCTTGGGATGGTTACATGCAATATGCTTACCCACATGATGAGCTGCACCCCATCTCAAACGGTGTCGGCGATTCGCGGAACGGCTGGGGTGCGTCCGCCGTGGATGCCCTATCCACGGCCGTTATTATGCGCAATGCCACTATTGTCAACCAGATCCTGGACCATATTGCCACGATTGACTACTCTAAGACCGACGACCAAGTGAGTCTGTTCGAGACGACAATCCGGTACCTGGGTGGCATGCTGTCGGGTTATGATCTGTTGAAGGGTCCGGCCTCGGACCTAGTCCAGGACTCTGATAAGGTTCAGGCCCTCTTGGATCAATCGCAAAACCTGGCGGATGTCCTCAAGTTCGCCTTCGACACTCCCAGCGGTGTTCCCTACAACAATATCAACATTACTTCGCACGGTAATGATGGTGCAGCAACCAACGGGCTGGCTGTGACGGGTACATTGGTTCTCGAATGGACCCGACTCTCAGACCTGACGGGTGATACGGAGTATGCTGAGCTCAGCCAGAGGGCAGAGAATTATCTGCTCAACCCCTCACCAAAGAGTGCAGAGCCGTTTGATGGACTGGTTGGAAGCCATATCAACATCACCGACGGACAGTTCACCGACGGATTAGTGAGCTGGAATGGAGGCGACGACTCGTTCTACGAATACCTGATCAAGATGTACGTGTATGATCCGAAGAGGTTCAGCACCTACGGAGATCGCTGGGTTAAAGCGGCGGAATCAAGCATCAAACATTTGGCGTCACATCCGTCGACTCGCCCGGACCTGACTTTTCTAGCGTCATACAACGAAGGCCAACTTGGCTTGAGCTCCCAGCACCTTACTTGCTTTGATGGCGGCAGTTTCTTGCTTGGCGGAACCGTCCTGGATCGCGACGACTTTATCCAATTTGGTCTGGATTTGGTGAAGGGATGCCACGAGACATACAATCAAACCCTGACTGGTATCGGACCCGAGAGCTTCGGATGGGATCCCAAGAACGTACCATCGGACCAGAAGGAGCTGTTTGAGCGTGCTGGCTTCTATGTTAGCAGTGGCGCATATATTCTTCGTCCTGAAGTGATTGAGAGCTTCTACTACGCCTGGCGTATTACTGGCCAGGAAATTGTATGTCCTCCAGAGCCCATGATATATTTTGAGCCTGCACTAACAGCAGATTAGTACCGTGAGTGGGTATGGAATGCGTTTGTCGCTATCAACAAATACTGCCGCACCAGCTCCGGGTTCGCGGGTCTGACCAACGTCAACGCTGCGAACGGTGGAAGCCGGTACGATAACCAGGAGAGTTTCCTCTTTGCTGAGGTGTTGAAATACGTGTACCTGACCTTTGCTCCGGGTAAGTCTTCATCTGACCGAATAAGCAACCATAATCTAACGGAAGCAGAAAACGAGTGGCAAGTCCAGCGCGGTAAGGGCAACAAGTTTGTCTACAACACCGAGGCGCACCCTGTTAGGGTGGCGGCAGCGTAGTTGTATATAGCAGGCTATCCGGTATTGATATAGTTAATCACTGAAGTTTACGTATTGTATCTCTACTATATGTCCAATACAGCTTTGTGTAGAGTAATCTCTTTTATCAACGTGGCTAGATTCTTATGTGACTTTCCCACACCTTAGACATAGGATCCAAGATCCTGACGAGGAAAGCGCCACACTGATTACAGCAATCACCGCCAGAACTATTAGTACTGGAGAAAGTAATCTTTCAGGGAGTGGCTCTGACTTGACCGCTAATATAATCGACACTTTAAATTCCACAGACACTCAAAAACACACCCACTCCGAACAATGGCAAAGCAAGGACGTACATACATAGATACGGATACCAGTATGTCCATTACTATCCACCCAAGACCGACAAAACGTACCACACACTCCCCTTGGAAACAGCCACGCTTTATCTTCAACAATTCCAGACCTACAAAAAAGAAAACACCATTGATAAAACCAAAAACACAAAATAATGCCCTCAAAACCACTCCGACAATCAACTCAACCCCACAGAATTCCTGGCGGTTGTGATCGGCCAGACCAGGCGCCCCACATTATCCGTCGCGGATTTGCGCAGATTTGAGCACCTTTGGGACGGCCACCGACTACAACAGAACACCTTGGGGACTGTCCAAGGGGGTTTAGTATTTATATTTAAATACTGCGTAGAGAAAAAGTAATTCGCAATTAGTAAAGTGAACAGAAGACCTTCTATTCAACACATACTCAGATCTCTCTCTCTCTCTCTCTCTCTCTCTCTCTCTCTACCATACAAACAAACCACTACAACAATCTATCCATACATTGAAAGACAGATAACCCTAAAACCCGACCCCATAACATACTATACAGAACCATGTGCGGAATCGCCCGCCCCAGCACCGGCCACCGCATCGCCGTCATGTTTCCCTCCGCCAGCTCCAAATCCATGAGTCCGTATTCTCTATTCTTCCGGGAAATGGACGCTGGCACCAAAGCCGTCTTTCGTATTGAGGACGCGAGCACTTTTGATGTTTTTAGGGGGTGTAGGGGGATTGATTTGCGGATTGAGTATGTTCTTTCCCCCCCCCTTTTCATCTCTTTTACTTTGCTTTTTTGGGGGCGATTGGGCTTGTATATTACCTGGTATACTACTGGTATACTACTGGTATACTACTTGTATACCTGTATCAGATCATGGGGAGGGAGAGTGACGTTAAACTGTGCTATTTGTTTGTTCGGTGGAATAGACCGCTGATACTAACATTGATATAACTCAGACGATATGGAGATCTCACATCATCACATATGACCCCCCCACTGCACCAATTCCGGTTACAGCCGTGTGGGAAGGATCGTGCCGAGATGGAGTTCGAGCTACCGGAGAGACTGGATCTGGGGGTGTCGGAGACGGGCATCGTTGGACGACAGGTCACGGTGATGGTTGAGGGGCAGTCGTCCGTGGGGATTGGGACGGGGATTGTGGGGTTTGATTGATTGAGCATTTTTTTTTTTTTTTCGCTTTTGCTTGTATGGGTGTTGTGGATTGGATTGGATTGGAGTTGATGGTGTTTTGGGATAGTTGATATTGTCTGTTTTTGGGGGATTTGTCATTTTATGATTTTCATTTATATTCGTATTCATGTTCATCTACTTATGTATGAAAGGAAAGACCCTTGACAGACTGATCTACAGCTTGAGAAGCGCAGAGCCCTCCACGCCATTCTTGAATCTGTCCTCTGCAGTGCGCCAGTTGAGGACCTTCCAGATACCCTCTACATACGAGGCCTTGTTATTGAAGTACTAAACCCAGTCAGTGAATCCCATAACCACAAGAAAGAAAAGGGAAAAAAAAAAAAAAAAAAAAAAAAAAAAAAAAAAAAAAAAAA